ACCATTTGCTTTATCTCCTGAAGCCCTTACCAGCTTCTTCGCATTACGACGTGCTGTTGTTACTGCTCCTGCTCTGGGCCTTCCCAATTACGAGAAGCCCTTCAAGCTCTTCGTCTACGAAAAAATGGGTCATGCATCTGGTGTTCTCACTCAGTCTCATGGGTCTCGTCAGCGTCCAATAGGGTATTACTCCTGTCAGTTGGATCCTGTGGCCAGGGGAGGACCCTCCTGTCTTCGGGCTGTATTTGCAGCAAGTGCTCTACTGGACAAGACGTGTGACATAATCCTTGGTCACAAGCTAACCATTCTCGCTCCCCATGATCTTTCTGCGATACTGAATCAAGTTCAACCTAAACATCTCTCTACTCAAAGACATCTTTGTCTCCAAACAACTTTAATGTTACCAGATAATGTCTCCTTACAGCGATGTTACACTTTGAATCCTGCCACTCTTCTGCCGCTTTCCAAGGGGGGAGTACCACACTATTGGTACAGTCTGAACATAGATCCTGATGCCTTCCTTGATCTGGATGTCCATATGCCCACAGTACCACACGATGAACAGCCATCTCCTCTATGGCATTGTACTTTGTGGTTCAGAGACGTTTCGGGGCCTGACCCTCAGTATGAAGAAGAACTGTTTCAATTGATTGAAGTACATCTCACTTTGACAGACATATACTGTGATGCAAAAGGTAACACTGTAGTTTTAGTTCAATTACCCACAGAAGTGACTCATATGTACCACCATTGGGAGGTGGCAGTTCCTCATGTCTCTATTACTAAATCTCCAAATATCTCATGGAAGGAACTTGGTCCATAAGCCAAAGCATGGAGTGCAACAGATCAAGACCAACTCTCCACAGAAGGTGTTACCAAACGAACTGTGAATTGTAAGACTACTGGTTACCCACAATATCACACAGAAATATGTGAAGATGCTCCTCCCATAGATCCTAACCCAGATGTCCCCCATGACTGTTTTGAACAGATGCAGATGGAAACAGCCCATCTTCCTACAGTACATGAAACGGCTTTGCCAGATCCTGACTGCACACTGTTTGTGGATGGCTCCAGATTTGCGGATGAACAAGGAAGATACCACACTGGATTTGCAGTGACCACAGTAGATCAGGTGCTTCAAGTATCCCCACTTCCCCCGTCTATGTTTGCTCAAGAAGCTGAACTAAAAGCCCTCACTGTAGCATGCCAAATGTTTGAAGGGAAACGTGTTAATATTTACACCGATTCAAGATATGCCCTGGGCGTAGCACACGATTTTGGATTAATATGGAAAACAAGAGGTTTTCTGACAGCAACCAGTACATCAGTTAAACATGGTACAGCTATCAAGGAATTGCTGGATGCTTTACTCCTTCCTGAAGAAGTGGCCATACTGAAAGTAAAAGCCCATGGAAGACGGAATTCGGAAGAAACATGTGGCAATCATAAAGCTGACCAAGCCGCCAAAGATGCTGCATATCAATCAAGGGAAGTGGACAGAAGAGTGTCCGGTGAGGAAATTCCTATTTTTCCCATGCAAACCTTACCTACAAACCAAGTTTTTGAAAGAACAGCAAGCAGCTGTAAGTCCTGAAGAAAAGCAAAGCTGGAAACAGAAAGGAGCAACCTTGCAGGATGGAATATATACTAGCAATCTCAAATTTTGTCTACCTAAATGTATGTATCCGGCTGTGGTTTAGTGGGCCCACGGAGCAGCGCACTTGTCTAAGACCCTCATGAACTCTTTAATTGCTAAATATTTTGAAGCACCAGTGTGACGAGACCAATCTCGCCACATTGCATTGGAGAAGCCTGGTTGCTCGCCTGCTGCCTTTGGACTATGGCCCCCTTTTAAAAGACTTTATTTTTGCCTGCAGAAAAGCTGTATTCGTGCTTTTCTGCCTGGGTTTCAGTAGATTTGTTTGAATGTGTTATACCCCAGATGGGAATCCCATGGAGCCCATTCGTATGAAACTGACTGTAAAGACTTTGGCTCCATGGTGATTAAACTGTATTTGTGTGGTCCGAGCGCCATTCACTTAATAATGTGCGCTCAGACCTGAGCTATCTGGGGATATGTGAAATGTCTGTGTGTTATGTGTAAAATGTAACTTTATGTATTTTAAAGTGTTTTACTGTCTTTGTGTCTTTTTGCAACCATGTGCTTAATGGAGTCTTGTGTCTGTCCTGGGAGATAATTGAATTACTTATCTCCAGGATAGAAGACTCTGAAACTGGTTTGGGCCAGAAAGCCATGCTTCATTTAGTCACAAAGGACTTTTTACTAACTTTTGAACCCCTGGTCTGATTCAGGCCATTTTTTAATATGTTGTTCCCCTGAATGGATTGATTGTGAATATGTAATTTTATGTGAATGTGATGTATGGTTTTAGAGTTATGAAAGTTGGGTAGAAAGTATGTTTTAACTGTATGTGTAATTGAGTTTCCTCTCAGGATAAGGGGAGGGAATATGTGGGATGTAACTGTGATGTGATTGGTTGTTTTATACCTCCCTGTGGGCGGTCCTGTATTTGCAAGACTGTAATAAAAACCAGGCTGGGTGTGCCAGCACCTCAGACCACTGCTTGACCCTCAACACGGAGCCTTGTCTCGTTCTTGGGGGGATTCACTGTATGCTGTTAGAGACTGATTGCCAGGAGTGTAAGCTGTTCGTCTGCTTTTCCTGTTCGTCTGCTAGCAGCTATTTGGGAGGTTCCAGTTCGGGAGTTGGAGTGCTATTTTGTATCCAGTTCGTGAGTTTTGGTGTTCTGCAGTAGCTGTGCCTGGATCTCTGGAAAGGGGGCCGATCGCCTAAACGGTTTTTACCCCTTGTGTGCAAAACGGTCCGTTACAACCAGGTATTACCACTCTGACTAAAACCTACTGTAAGTCTTGTGCTATCTGTGCCAAGTGCAATCCGGGAAAATTGGAGAAAGTTTTCCCCAAACACCTAGCGAAGCCACAATACCCATTCCAGAGAGTCCAAATTGACCACATCCAGATGCCAAAGAGTGGCCGGTACGAATATGCCCTAGTTATGGTGGACATGTTCTCAGGATGGCCAGAAACTTTCCCGGTTACTAATATGACCGCCAAGACCACTGCCAAGCGGTTGCTCAATGAAATTGTCTGTAGATATGGAGTTCCTGAAGTGATTGAAAGTGACCAGGGCCCGGCTTTTACAGCACTAGTGACTAAGGAAGTCTGGGCAGAACTGGGGGTGACTTTTGAATTCCACACGCCCTATCACCCACAAAGAAGTGGTAAGGTAGAACGCATGAATGGCACCTTAAAAGCCAGAATGCTTAAGATGGCCCAAGAAACTAACCTGCCCTGGCCAGAGAGTCTCCCCATAGCTCTGTTTAGTGTCAGGTACACACCAAGAGGGAAGTTTAACCTGTCTCCCTATGAGATTTTGTTTGGTTCAGCCCCTAGGTTAGGTTGTTACTTTCCTCAACAACTCCAACTGCAATCAGATATTATGGTTAATTATGTGACTGCTCTTTCCCAAGTTTTAAACAAGATACATGCCCAAGTGTTTTCTTCCATTCCAGATCCAGACTCTGATACAGGCACACACAAGTTGCTCCCTGGTGATTGGGTTCTGGTTAAGAAGTTCCTAAGAAAACATACCCTTGAACCCAGATATGATGGTCCATTCCAAGTCCTTCTAACCACGACTACCTCAGTTACATTGGCCGGAAAGAACTCTTGGATACACGCTTCACATTGCAAGAAAGTTCCAGCTCCAGAGGAAGCAGATCCTGTTATAGCATGAATTTTGTGTATTTGTTCTTGCTGCTAGGTCTGATAAAGGCCCAACAAGTCGCTATAACCAAAGACAATCATGTTTACACATTTTGGTTCAATTCCTCTAGTACACGGGTGGCCACATTTGCATTTGACTATTGTGATATCGTAAATTGTACATTTCCACCAGCATTTTTGTCAACAGTGTACAAAGATATACCAGACATTAAGGACCCATACATATGTGTGACTAATGACTACTGGGGATATGAGTGTAGTTCATGGAAGGCAGCAGGTTGGAATACAGGGCCAGCCTGGGGCTATAGACCACAAAGTGCCTTAGACAGATTAGATAAAAATGGGGAGTCCTTACTGAAAAGAATGACGTTCAGGAAACCAGGGGGACGACACCTATGAAACTAGCTTTAAACATAGAACATCCCAGTCCTGGAGATGCTGGGCAATATGTAATGGGAATGTACTGGAAGGGAGGAGGTTCATATAATAAACAGGGGACCTTTTACTTACGGGACATGTATGACTCACCTGAATGGATAGGTGCCACGCACATGACTATTAATCCTTTTAAGCCACATATCAAAACTCTAAAAGAGATGATAGCTATAGCTAACCCCACGTATGAGGACACTATGGCTGTAGAGACGGGTTTCTCTGACACTAACTTATGGCTTGAGTGGATGAAATATAACGCTAACAAACACAACAGATCTAACTGCTATGTCTGTTGAGGAGCGAGGCCTCACTTAGGTACTGTCCCTTTGAACATACCTCCGGAGATAGAGATGTGTTTCCTAAGTCTCTATACTATACTTAAAATTGACCGGACGGAATGTGAATCATGGACAAAGGAATAGCCAATTATCCTTAAAGATGTTAAGCCAGATAAAGGAATCACCATATACCCAGGTAACTACACTTGTTATGGTATATATGATGGGGTAGGCCAATTCTTTGGTAATTTCACAGGTAAGTACTGTGCCACATATAGCCCAATTCCACCTGCCCTAATCCAGCAACAAATAAGATCCCTTGGAGACATATATTGGATTTGTGGGGATATGCAGATTAGAACCAGATTGGAAGGCGTATGGTGGGGAGAATGTGCCCTAGCTAAGGTAATTATGCCTATACACATAATCTCTGACGGACACCAAGATACCCCAGGTACGTCACACCAATACTCTAGAATAAAGAGAGATACTCCTGTAAAAGGCAGTTTTGATCCCCATATTTATATAGATGCCATAGGAGTGCCAAGGGGGGTGCCGAATGAGTTTAAAGCAAGAGATGAAGTGTCCGCAGGGTTTGAATCTATTTTCCCAATCATCACGGCCAATAAAAATTTAAATTGGATCAATTACATCTATTATAGCCAACAACGTTTTGTAAATTATACAAGAGATGCCCTCCAAGGTTTGGCGGAACAATTACAAGCTACTTCCCAGATGACCTTCCAGAATAGAATGGCCTTAGACATGATCCTGGCGGAGAAAGGGGGAGTATGTAAAATACTCCCAGACACCATGACATGCTGTACCTAAATTCCAGATAATACAGGCCCTAATGGTAAGGTAACGTTGGCAATAGAAAAGTTAAAGAGTTTGTCCAATGAACTGAAAAGGAATTCTGGGGCCACAGATCCATGGGAAAGATGGTTTGGATGGATGTCTGGATGGCAAGGTGCTCTGGCCCAGATAGGTGTTGCCATTTTAATAATGATAATCATCCTTGCTCTTCTTGTTTGTTGTGTGTTACCCTGTCTTAAGAAATGCCTACAAAAGACAGTTGATCAGACAATCGACCAGACCACCCTGACCTTCCTTCACCAAGAGATTGACGACATCGACCGTGATACACCACATACACCCTTACAGTCCCACCGCACTAAATCAACAGCTACTTCCTCTTAAGGACATTCACGGATTGCGTCTGTCTCTACGGGCAGAAGTCTGTCGCGGGACAAAGTAGTGGACAAGCTGCTACGGGTTACCCGCGCAGTGAAGTGTTCGAGGCCTGTTCAGACAGATGTGCAAGATAGCCTTTTGTTATTTTTATATAGGGACAGTATTATAATGAGAGAGAGTAGTTTTTAGTAAAAATTGCCATTTTAAGGGGGGACTGTTATGGACAGATGTATTAAAATAAAATGGCTATTTACTAATGTCTATTTATTCTGTGTTCACTATGTTAAAACTGGCTGCTAGAGTAAATATTCCCTTCCCCCCCTACAATGTGTTCAGTTGCTGTTTCCTATGTAAATTCTTCATCCTGCTAGCATCCCCCTTCCCATCAAGCAAACCTTATGTAACCAAAATTCCTGTGTTAACAGCTTGCTTTACTAACTCCTCCCCCACTTCCTTTGTGCCAGTTAACAGCTATATGCCACGTGTAACAAAATGGAGAATCACTGTTAAAGTAACTGAAAGAAACTACTCACTCCCCCTCCCATCGTGTATCCAGGAGCTGGAATATAGGCGGGAGAAGTCTGTAATGATGACACTATTTTCTTTGATCCAAAACAAGTATGTATGTGTAACGGATCACCTGGCACCCCGACTGGGTACCTCCGTTGAAGGATGCTCCTAGCGCTTCCTGAGGATTCCAAGCACTGCTGCAGACATCACAACCACCGAACCGGAGAAGCATATGAATTCTCTCAAGCATATGAATGTTGTATACAGCCGAATAGGAAAAACCATGCGAATAGGTTTACACTCCTAGCAGTCAAACTGGAACAGCATACAATAAATCCTCCCCCAATAATGAGACGACACTTCACTTTGAGGGTTAAGCAGGAACTCACTGGACTGGCACATACAGCCTCTTTTATTCCCAATCCACAAAATTAGTACTGCCCACAGGGTTTTACAGAACAACCAATAACATGTAGTATAAAGTACAAACACTCCCATACTTCTCCTCCCCTCTGCTTGGGAGATAATTGAGTTTCTTACTGTATCTACTCAATTATCTCCAAGCTGAAAAATCATACTTTTTATACATTTTTATAACTCCCTGATTTTACATCACATACAAATAAAACTTATATTTCTGTGATCAGCATAACTTGGGGAGCAACATATGTAAAAATCACATGAATCCGTCCAGAGGTTAAAAAGTTAGGTTGAGGTCCCTTTATTATTAATTGCCAGCATGGCTTTTCCTTCCCAAACCAGTTCCCACTGGTCTGGCAGTGTCCCTGGGACAACTCCCTGCTGGAGAACAATGGAGCTGGGGGAGGGGAAGAGCCTCACCTTCCCAGGGATTCAAAAGGGAAGAAAAAGTGTCCAAAAAGTTTCCATGTGTCCATACACTGTTTTTAAAAGGGCCAGCACTGTACAATAAAAGTCCATAAGCCCAAATCAGTTTTTAAAGGCAATACATTCCAGGGGCCATAGTCACATGGAGGTCAGTTTCGCCACAGTATGCATGTATTATTATTATTATTATTATATTAGTTATATAGCGCCAACAAATTCCGAAGCGCTGTACAATGTCTGTGTGTGTATGTCAGTATGTGTGTATGTATATATCTAACAATATGTATGTGTGTATCTATCAATCTATGTATGTATGTATATATCTATGATTGTATATATGTATGTGTGTGTGTATGCCTGTATGTATTTATATATCAGTATGTATGTATGTTTTTATGTCAGTATGCATGTGTGTATGTCTGTTTGTCAGTATGCATGTGTGTGTGTCAGTATGCGAGTATGTATGTACGTCAGTGTGTGTGTGTGTGTGTGTGTGTATCTGTATCTCCTTATGCATGTGTGTGTCTGTATATGTCTGTGTCTGTTTCAGTATATGTGTCAGTATGCCTGTATGTGTGTGTCTGTTTCTGTATTTGTGTATCTTTCTGTGTGTGTCTGTGTCCTTTTGTATCTGTGTGTGTGTATTCCTGTAGGCGCAATTTGGAGGTGGGTCTTGGAGGCGGGCACCTGGGGACCCAGACCTTGAGCTGTGTTAGGGGCCCCAGAATTTCTGATGGTGGCCCTGATGAGGAGGAAGGTGAAGTGCCAAGGTTGATCACAAGAAACATAGAGAACATGATCAAGAGGGGTGGAAAAGGATAGACAGGAGGTGTCTTCATATCCAGTTTCGCAAGCCAGTTGTCTATGTGAAGAGAGTTCCTTATTAAGTTTGAATTCCTTCCACCTAAAAGCAATGGTATCTCATCTGGGTGTTGTAGAAAGTACATTTGATGCTACCCCGGGGACGCTTACCTGAGGAAAACGGGATCTAGTCAATACGTCAATCCGGAGCAGTGCTGCTATGCGTATCATAGGAGAGGCAAACATTGGTGTTTCTAACGAAACAGAAATTTCTCTGAGCCCATTCTTGAATATTGTGAGCCCATTCCCAGATGGTGCTGGCATTGTCAGGTATTTTACCCTTGAAAGGGGATTAATAGAGTCCAGCAATTTGTCTTGGGTGTCTCTGAAAGCTCACCTGACTCCCTTATGGGCTCGCGGCCACCCAGAGCCTTGAAGGTCATCATCCGCTGATCAAACACAGGCGTCTGTGCCAAAATGTCTGGGAGGAAGGGCATGGGCAGTCCGACCACAAGCGGTTCCGGACATCTTTATCTAGAGGCTTGCAAATCCACAGGTGCATAAAGTTAGCCAAGTGTTCGCTTCCGTGTCTTCTTTGTCAGTAGTGTGCGAGGCACTGTCACACCCCAAAAAAGCTGTACACGAATGCAGAGCCATATGTGGATTCCAAACCCCAGTCGTCAGACCCCGATGCCTCCACATGCCCTTGTTTCATGATGGACAGATAATTTTGCAGTCCTCAGCCGAGGAGGGGTCTAACCATGGGGTCAGGGCAGGTGCTGGAGTCGGTGTACTGCGTTTGGTGGGGGCTTTGTCCTTAGACTGTAGAGGTCTTTGCCATTACAGTGGCGCTTGCTATGATGGGGGGACCCCTTAATGGAGACATCCCAGGCCTCAGAGTCCGCCCTGTAGAGGCCTATATCGGTAAGGGGACCGTCACTCCAGCCAGTACATTTGAGAGTGTTTTCTCCACAAATGCAGCCACCGTTGTTTGTATCATGTCCTGGGTTAGCCAGGGAATCTTCCATAGTGGCAAATTGTGTGACACAGAATTAGGGTTCACCCCAAAAAATAGACAGGTAGATTTATCATAATATGGGATATCCTTGTAGAAGGCACAAATTAGAAGGAAATTTCAGGATGCAGGGCAAACAGACCAGACTACTATAGTAGCAGGCAATGCTCACAGAAACCCCTGAAGGGTTGTAATCTTAACAGTGGCCAAATAAAATAGACTGGGGCTTACCCAGTAAACAGAGGCTGTAATAGCATGCCTCCACTCAGCAGCACAGTGCAGCACACATATAGTAAGGGCCTCACCCCAGGTGCACAGGGTATGAACCCTTAAGTGATGGCCACGACCCTGACAGAGAGCACTAATCTGTGCTTCAGATGGTTAATTCAAGGTTGTGGGAGATATTCCTTTAAGCAGTATGTCCTTGAAATCCTGCCCAGCAGTTAACTGAGGCTGTAGCAGCCTGTCTCCATACAGTATCACAGTGTAGTATAATTATAGTAGGGGTCTCACCCCAGGTTCACAGGGTATGAACCCCTGAGTGCTGGCCACAGCCCTGATAGAGAGCACTAATCTGTGCTCTAATAGCTAATACAAGGTTATGGGTGAAATCCCTTTAAACAGCTTATATAAATGGCCTAATTTAACATTAACATGTAACCCTAGTAATACGCTCCTGTGATTGGTTCTTTTTTTCTATGTGTTTCTTTGCTGCTGTGGAGCTAATAAAGAGAGATTAAGCAAAATATGAAGCCTCCTGTCATGTAGTAAAATGTAATATATTATAGTGGGAAACATAAGAGTTATAAAATAAGCAGCAAAACTACAGTGTGTATGTAAACATTGAAATAACAAAAATGAATACCACAAACGTTAAAAAAAAATGGCACCTCACTAAAGCTAAACATATATTGTGTGTTAGCTCCCATGGTGTCCACGTTTGCACATGGTATGTATTTATGGAGTAATTTAAATATGTGAAGTACTAAAATGACACAAAATGCACCATTAACCCATCGTCAATTTGCTATTACAAAAAAACAAAAAAAACCTGCAGTGGGCATGTTCCAAATTCAGGTCTGTATTTTCACAAAACACTTGGGTAAACAGAAAGGGGATACAAAGAGGGCCATTCTGTACTCAGGAGATAAAGCTGAGCACAATTTAGTGATTTTTTTTACGGTAGCACATATCAAGTTTAAAAAATATACCATATGACATACCCTGCCATGTCTACTTTCACAGGTAAACATTGATGGGGTAATTTAACTATCAAACTGCTGCAATGCCCCATAAATTCAGAATAGGCCCATCATATTTACCTATCAAAATTCTAACTGTAAAAACTGAAATAGTCTCTTAGATGGCACTGTAACTTTGCGAGATAGTGACAAATGCCTATATTGGG